CATTGAGCATAGAGATTATTTAAAAACAAAATCTTAAAGAAGTTTTTTAAAAAATCATCCCGGGGCGCCTGGGTGGCTCAATTGGTTAAGCGACTGCCTTCGGCTCAGGTCATGATCCTGGAGTCCCAGGATCGAGTCTCGCATCGGGCTCCCTGCTCAGCGGGGAGCCTGCTTCTCCCTCTGGCCCTCCCCCCTCTCATGTGCTCTCTCTCTCTCTCTCTCTCTCAAAATAAATAAATCTTTAAAAAAAATAAAAAATAAAATAAATCATCCCGCTCTACACTTGCTAGTTGTTTTATGTAAGTTATGTTTCATTAAAAAGGAAAAAAAAAATGAATTTAGTGAGGTCATTGGTTAAAAAAACCCATTTACATAACTCAGTTGTATTTTTAAAGATTTTATTTAAAAAAAAAAGATTTTTATTTATTAGAGAGCAAGAACGTGAGCGGGGGAAGGTGCAGAGGCAGAGGGAGAAGCAGGCTCTCCGTTGATCAGGGAGCCCGACGTGCGATTCAATCCCAGGACCCTGAGATCATGACCTGAGCTGAAGGTAGACGCCTCACCGCCTGAGCCACCCAGGCACCCCTGAAAGTGGAATTTAAAATACCATGAATAATGTCAAAAAAATCAATACCTAGGAATAAATATGATCAAAGAGACTTGCAGAGAAAAATTACTGTATTATTTTTTTAATTTAAGCAGTCTCTACATCCAACGTGGGGCTTGACTCAACCCACAACCCTGAGATCAGGAGTCATTTTTTCTGACCAAGCCAGTTGTGTGCCCCAAGACTTGCAGAGAAATTTAGAGACTAAGCGGAAACAGATACTACATTTGTGGATTGTGGATTGAAAGACTCAACATCGAGGAGATGCCACTATCCTGGAAATGATCTGGAATTCCAATCAAAGTCTAGGACAGTGGCTTTCAGCTTTTGACTGTGTTGCAGTTACACACACAGTCACACACAAAACAAGAACAAAAGTTTTGTGTAACCATACTTGTCCTGACTACTTAAGATTGCCTTTGATGTTTTCTGTTATATTCTAGGGGGTTTTTGTTGTTGTTGTTTTTGTTCATTTGTATCCATGAGCTTGGTTTTGTTGTTGTTTAATTCCACATATAAGTGAGATTATATCATCTTGGCCTTTCTTGGACTTATTTCTCTTAGCATGATGCCCTCAAGGGCCATCTGATGATTTCTGTTATATTCTCGATCATATTTTTTTTTAGAGATTTTATTTATTTATTTATTTATTTATTTGACAGAGAGAGACACAGCGAGAGAGGGAACACAAACAGGGGGAGTGGGAGAGAGAGAAGCAGGCTTCCCACAGAGCAGGGAGCCCGATGCGGGGCTCGATCCCAGGACACCGGGATCATGACCTGAGCCGAAGGCAGCTGCTTAACCAACTGAGCCACCCAGGCGCCCCTCTTGATTATATTTTTCATGCTGGTCTGAAATTGATTGCAGGTCTACCCACTAGTGGGACAGGACCTGCAGTTTTAGAAATATCACATGAGGGAAGGCCAGGTTGTTTTAGAAAATCATTGTCCAGCTGAGAGCCGACTGACATGTGGTGGATTTCTCAGTGGCTTGATAGAATGTCAGAATAGAGACACCATGCGACCTTGCCGCTGAACCCTCTCCTCCAGGTGGCCCCCTTCATGACACAGGCCACCCGAGGGGCTCCTCTTCTAGCTTAATCACATCACACTGGATGGTGTGTCGGTGATCATCACATCGTATATGCTGTTTATTAAAAAATTTTTTTTTTGTTTTACACAGAGTACAAGGGGCCTTACTGTAGCCACCAAACAACCTGTGGGTCAACCTCGGTAACGTGGAAGAATGATCTGATCTAGGGATGGGGGAGGAGAGGGGCACTCAAAAGGAGGAAGTCAGTGACAAGTGAATAGTACAAGAAATGTATACAAATCACCTGTAAAAATGGGGAGGCAGAGGGGCGGAGGAGGGACAGGCTGTATGGGGACAGAGTCCTCATCTTTTATACCAGGGCTGGGGGCTCAATAGAAAATGTGTAAAAAGGAGCAAATTTCCAGGTGAAAAACTCAGAAATAGAGGCAAGTGATGTCCGCTAATTATCAGATGTCAGGGCCATGATGCTACGAGAAAGAAAGGCTGGTTAGGGTGAGATTTGGGGGACCGTTTGGCGTGGGCCCAAGGATCAGGACCAGGTGCGGGGCTTCTGACTTTTAACTTTATAGTTTGAGTACTTTATTTTCATGCAATGTGTTACTTTTGGTCATGAAAAGGATGGCAGTTTTTTGTGTTTTGGTTGTGTTTTAACCAGGGGCAGGGGCATGAGGCTGGGGCGGGGACCCACTGACACATTCAGCAGGATATACTGGGCATCACTGGTGTGCCTGGCCTGCTGCTGGCCGGTGCTGGGGACACACAGTGATTGGGACAGCCCCGGGCCCTGTCCTCGTGGGGCTCATGGGCCGGTGCGGAGACAGAGTGCAGACAAGTGACTGGGTGACCAGATCAGTCCCAGTTGTGATAGGTGCTCTGAAGGGAATACACAGAATGGCAGGAGGGACAAAAGTCCCTGGATAGGGAGTTCAGGTCGGGACATTGGTCAGAGCTGGGACAGAGCGTGGACCAGGACAGCGGGTGGGGGTGTGGGAGAGACATTCAGGAGACAGACGAGATAGACACGTGGCTGAGAGGCTGTGGGGGAGGGGAACACCTGAGTCCCAAGTCTCTGGCCTGGTGACAGGATGGACCCAGGAGGAGAAACAAGTGTCTGTTGGGGGTGGGGAGCCGGGGTCAGGTCTGGACACAGTGAGTGTGTCTGGGAGACATCTGGGGACCTGTTGGATCCCCGGGTCAGGTGCTGTCCTCAGTCTTGTCCCGTCCTGGCTTCTCATGGCTACCCCTTCTTGTCAACCCCCCATTCCCACACGGACCTTGTTTCCTGAACCCCAAATCTGAGAGAGACTGCCATCAACCCCTGCTCTGAAAGCCTTCTCTCTCTCACACACACACCCTTCAGTTTCATTTCCTATGCCTGCATGTGTGCCCCCACCCCTCGTGCCCACTCCCATTTGCACATCCAGGCTCGACCACTGACCCAGGTCGTCCTGCTCGGTCCACAGTGGGGTGCTGGGACATTTGCCCAGGGGGGCCAGTGGAGGCTGGTTCTGTCTCCCCTCACCACTCTCCGGCCGCTATGCTTTGTGGGCCTGACATGAAGGATCACGTGACAGTTACAGGCCCGGCCCCCCGGCCCAGCACCCCAGGGCTGGTGTGTGGTCATCACCTCCCCATTTTACAGAGGTGGCTCAAAGTGGGCTGTCCTTGCAGTAGGTGACAGAGCTCCAGGTGGACCCCGGCCTGGCCTGAAGCTAGGATCTCAGTGTGGGAGGAGTCTGCACAGCCCGGACCCCAGGAACCCCACAACACCAGGGCCTCCGTAACAATTAGTGGTAACAGTGAGCACCGCAGCGGGCAGTTCACGGGTGGGGGGATGGGGGGTTGGGGGCGGTGGCTGGGCTCCTTAGATCCTACTGCTGGCTCCAGGCAGAGCTCGTCCAACATTTTTGCTGCTCCACCCCTTTAAAACATTGAAAAGTTATATACCCTTTAGTGCATTTTCAAGGTGACAGCTAAAACTTCTCCATGAATTCAAGTAGATGCAGAGGCTATAATTTCTGGTGTGTCATGAATATTGATATTTTCAGAGTTGGCGCCATCCTTCCTTCAGAGTATCGAATGCAATTCACGTAACTTGCAATTTGGCGCCTGCTACTCTTGGTTTAAAGGGGAAAAAAACGAACAAGCTGTTCTTTTACAGTCAGAAATTTCACATTGTTCCTTGAACTTTGTCCTTGAACTTCTGTTTACACTTCCCTTGCAGAATTCTGTCTAATAAAGTATGTGTCAGCGACCAAAATATGTACAGAAATCCAGATTTTAATTTTTGTTTCATTTCCGGGGACCATAAGTGTTCAAATAACTTCCTCTGGATTCTTAAAATTACTAGTGCACAATGCATTTAAAACATCTCATATATTATGCATTTACGTGGATGATTATGAAACATTAGAAGTGAAGTGCCGTGTTGGACATGAGTCTCCAAATGAACTAGACAGCGATTTCGTGTATTCTGGACAAATATGAATTACTGCAGGAGAGAGTCAGGGGCCGGCATAATTCTGCCTTGGTTTTTAAGACTCAGGCTGAGAATCTCCCTGCACAAAGAAGCAGCTAGGCAAGAAAGCTTTTGGTCCAGCAGCAGCAGTCGGCTCTGAGCCTCTTCCAAGGTACGTGGCCCGCACCTCGCTGCGAAGAGCTCCCAAGACTGTTAGCTACATCCTCAGGGTTGGTGAAAATAGAGGAGGATGGGAGCCACCAGACTTGCCAAGAGGATCGGTTACCTGCTGTTCACAATTGCTTCACATGCATTCCCACCTGCCAGTGGCCCTTTCTTTGAAGCCAGGAGGGCCCCCTATCCTGCAGCCCTAACTCTGAATTTGGGGAAGATTCGGAAAGAAATTGGGCGGGGGTTCTTTCTCCTGAGAAGTGGATTGGACGACTGTGTCAGGGGAGGAGGAATGCTTGGTTGTCCCACTGGTGGCTTGAGGGGAGGAGCAGAGGGGGCTAAGGCTAAAGCCTCTGACAGTTGAATCTGGGGACTTTGTGTCCTGGGAGCTCTTTGTAACCCTACAGGGGCATTCCCTGCCCCCCCCCACACACCTCAACCAGAGTGAGGACTTCCCTTCTTGGGCAGGGTTTCTGATTCCCGGCTGCTTGGCAGAATCCTTTGAGAAATTTAAAAAGATACCCTGGGGTCACCCCAGGCCAGTGACTCAACATCGCTGGGCTAGGCCAGTGCGGGTCTTGTTTAAGGCGATCCCCCCCGTGGTTCTGGTGGTGGTGTCCCCATTGCTCCAGCCTGGACGCCCGAAGTGCGTTGGGGTGGGGCTTGTAGGGGGCTCCTGGCGCACGACCTGACCCCTCTCTTCCCCCGCAGTGTACCACTGGGTGGAGATGCGGACCAAGATGCGCATCATGGGCTTCCGGGGCACAGTCATCAAGCCGCTGAACGAGGACGCGGCCGCCGAGCTGGGTGCCGAGCTGCTGGGCGAGGCCACCATCTTCGTCGTGGGTGGCGGCTGCCTGGTGCTGGAGTACTGGCGCCACCAGGCGCACCAGCGTCACAAGGAGGAGGAGCAGCGCGCCGCCTGGGACGCGATGCAGGACGAGGTGGGCCGCCTGGCGCTGGCGCTGGAGGCCCTGCAGGCGCAGATGCAGGCGGCGCCGGCGCGTAGCGCCCTGGAGGAGCTGCAAGAGCAGATGCGAGAGGTGCGCGCCCAGCTCTGCGCCCGGGACCCGCCGCCCGCGTCCCAGGCCTCGTCCGCGTCCCAGGCGGTATCCGCGGCCAAGGTACAGGAGTCTGCTCAAGTCTGAACTTGGCCGTGGTTGTGTGTGCCCCGATGTGGCCTTCTCCCCGTACTACCCCCGCCTGCGCTGGCCCAGCGGAAGCCACCGGGATCTTGATGGAACTTGGATTCAGTTAGCCTCTCCCTCCTGGTACCTTCCGCGGGGGCCAGCCCCCCGCCGGTGAAGCGGTCCCCCGAAGCGCCCTCCAAGCCCCAGCTCCTCGGTACAGACCACAGTGCTCAGCGCTCCACCCCAACCCCAAACCACCCGGACCTGTGCCGTCCCAGCCAGGAAGACAACAGGCTCACTCTTCTGGCAGGAGGAAAAACGGACTGGACTTGAGCTGAATCAAGCTGTGAACCCACTCCAACCCCCATTTCCGTGATAAATGTTACCCTGCCCTGGGACTCATCCTTTTCCCTGGAACCTCCCCCCGCTTCCCTTTGTGAATTGGCACAGACCATTGTACAGAAATGCAGTGTGGTTCAGTGCTCTTCTGTCCCAGCATCTAAGGTGGGCTCTAGCTGGGTTTCACCACTTTCTTTGAGGGGAAACAAGGGGGATCCTGGCTTGCACTTGAACCACTGGATGCTGTATCTTCCCCCTTAACCTGATCTGTGGCACCCTACAAGACCCCAAGTGGAATATTCCAACATATCCCCCCACCCCCCAGTCCTTCAGTCTGGCACAGCCTACTAGGATGTCTGTGCAGGGTCCTCTCTGGCAGCGCCCTCCCATCACCCCCTCTGTGGTGGAAAAATGGATCCTGCCTAAGGCTAAATCCAACCTGTCCTTCAGCCTCATCCCCCCGTGTAGCGGTTCTCCAAGTCCCTGAGCCTTTCCTGACAGGTCCTCCTCCGTGGCCACTCAGCGCACTGCCATCACATTCCTTGTGTTCCATCCAAATCTGCTGACCTGTGTACCCTTGCCCTTCTCTCCTGGGGCTCTGGGCCGGTCCATCCGTCCCCCTTCACGCAGTGGTACCCTCGTGCCTCCAGAGCCCTTGGCCCCACCTCCATCCCACTAGACTAGGCCACCGGCTGGTCTTAACCGTTCTTAGTTTCCCGGGGCTACCATAACATGACCACAAACTTGATGGCTTAAAACCAGAGAAAAGTGTTCTCTCGCAGTTCTGGAGGCCACAGATCTAAAATCAAAGACTCAGCAGGGCCATGCTCCATCCGAGGGCCCTGGGGGAAGATACTTCCTTGCCTCTTCTAACTTCTGGTGACTTCAAGCATTCCTTGCCTTGTGGCTGCAGATCTCTAGTCTCTGCCTCCATCTTCATGTGGCCTTCTCCTCGTGTCTCTCATAAAGGCACTTGTCTTTGGCTTTAGGGCCCACCTAAACCTAGGATGATCTCACTTCAGGATTCTTAACTTATTTACGGAGTTGGTTGGTTTTTTTTTTTTCCCCCCAGATACACTCAGTCACAGGTTCCATGGGTGTGGACATATCTCTTAGGGAGCCACCATTCAACCCACTACACCTCCCCACCCCAAAGAGGACGCTGGGACCCTTGCAAACCCCATGGGACATGTGGCCTTCCCCACAGGGGTGATAGGAACAATCCAGGAACCAGCATTTACTATGGGGTGTCTCTTCCGGGGATCTCACTGATGCAGTGGGGGTATGGCTCCTACCAGTCTGCATTCTGTTCTGCAGACCGTCCATGTTATGTTACCTGAATAAAAGAGCCCCAGAATGAGGAAGTCATCTTTAGGACGTGTCTGAGGACATAGGGATCTTCAAAATAGGTACAAGCCTCGTTAAAATTAGAGAAGCTGATGTGTGTGAGTGGGCAGTGATCCTATGAACGCTCTCCCTGATGGGGAAGCTGAGGCCCAGGGAAGGCAAAGGGACTTGCCCATGGCCATGAAGCCAATGAGGGACTGGCTGTCCAAGGTGGTGAAGTAATCAGAGCAGAGTGGGGGTCAGGGCTCAGGGAAGGGGATGGAAAAGGGGTGCAGGGTGCTGGAGAGCACCGGTAGGGGAGAGGGGAGCTGGGAGGCAATTACTGGGGAGGAGGGGTGGTTAGGGATCTCCACAGAGGCCCAAGGCATTTCCCAGAGGCAGCGTTGAGAGTGGGGGGGCCCTCAATTTCCGGTCCAAGCAGCCCCAGACTACACCTGAAATCTTTGCATTTAATGAATGGGGTCAGATCCAAGATCCATTCTACCTGGGTTGGGTTCCAAGAAGCTGTAGGTGAAGCGGGCGGGGCAGGCTTTCTCTCAACTCTTCAGTCCCTCACCTCACTGCCAGGGCTCCGGGAGGCTGGGGTGGGGGCAGGCGGGGTGATCTGGACACAACACCTACCCAGACAGAAAACCAAGAAACTCGGGTCCTGAAAGATCATCTTAATTCCTTCTAGAAGTGGGGGAGAAGCTGATTGTAGAGGGAGCTGAGGAGGTGGGTCCTGGGTGGAGGTGTCTTTAAAATCGGAAGTGAGGGCGCCTGGGTGGCTCAGTCGGTTAAGCATCTGCCTTTGGCTCGGCCCATGATCCCAGGGTCCTGGGGTCGAGCCCCGCATCGGGCTCCCTGCTCAGCGGGGAGTCTGCTTCTCCCTCTCCCACTCCCCCTGCTTGTGCTCTAAGTAAAAATAAAATAAGATCGGAAGTGACCTGAGTAGATAAATGAGAAGAAGGCACCGAGAGAGAGCACTGGGGGGAGGAGTGATGGACGGAGCCGGGTGAGAGGGCTCAGTGCCCCGTTTCCATGGCTACTCCTGGGGGTGCCCTGTGGCACTGACCCATCTCTGGAGCACAGGTTGCTGGAGGCTAAGCGACTGTGACATACGCCCCTTCCCACCCATCATCTCAATAAATAGTGGCCATTAACAGTATTTTCTTCATTTCTTTAATGAGAAAATTGAGGTACAAAAAGGGGGAGTCACCTGCCCACGGACACACAAGCAGGAAAAGCAGGAGGGGACCAGAAGATGGACAGTCTATACCGGAGCCCAAGCTTCACACCCCTGCGCCATCTTGACCCTGATGTGGCATTACTGTCACGTCCCAATACTCAGAACTCAGCCCTGCGCGTCCCTCCATGTGGCCAGACCTTGTGGGATGCATCGGCTTCACCCACTGGGTGGGATCAGGGTGTGTGGAAATGCAAAGAATCCCCTCTCAAAAAGCAGGAGGTTGGGACCGAAGGATGCTTCATTACTCTGGTTTCCTACTAGCTAAAGTTGTGTATACATTTGCGACTTGGGGAGAGGGGTAGAATAAATTTATAAATGTAGTTGGTTGTCTGCAAGTTGATGTGTTTTTTTTTAATCTTTAAAAAACCCCTGTTACAACCTTAGGAAAAACGTCCTCCAATTATTCTTTCATTCAGGAAACTTTCAGGTGTCCACTGTGTACCCTGCCCTGCTCTGTGTCATGCTGGGGTCCCAGCAGGGAGCGAGACAGCCACAACCCTGCCCTCATGGCACCCCCAGTCCGGTGGGGGGACGTCCGTTCACAGACATTGCTTTTCCAATGTTACCTGCCTGCCCCGCAGTGATTTGGGAAGAAGGGGCCTCACTGAATCCAGACTCCTCCCCTCCTGAGGGACTCAGGACTAGGGCAGAAAAAAACAGAAACCCATTTACACTGGCTCACAAAAGCCTCCCAGCTGTCCTGAGGGCTCTGCCTCTCCCATCTCTGGCTCGGCTCCATTGTCCTCTCTGTTGGTTTTCCAGTCCGGCAGCCCCTTGCCTGGAGAAAGCCACCCCTAGAGAAAGTGGACTTTGGTAAGCCCCTGCCTGATTCATCTGCCCATATAGCCGTCCCTGTGCTAGCCACTGTAACTCTCAAACGTCCAGGCCTGGGGCCCCCGACCCCAATAGATGGAGGGAAGCGTGCCCAAAGGAGAATCGAGTGGGTGCCCTGCACCCACTTGTCAGACAACTCGTTAGCACATACTGCAAGCCTGGCCCCATTGTAGTAGCTGGGAGTCGGCCAGGAACAAGACAAGGGCTCTCACCGTTTCGGAGCTGTCGTCTAGTGCAGGAGTTGGGCAGTAAAGATGTAAAGGGCTGATCCAGTGGCAGAGTTCAGGAGTGAAGAGTTTACTGACCCCTGGAATATAGTAAGCAAGGGGAGTCAGGAGAATGAAGACCAACCAGCACCCTTGTCTTGGTTGGCCCAGCTCTGGAGGCTCCTACCAGCTCTGGGCACCACAGAGGACTGGCGACTGCATCTCTCCTCAACTACTCCATACCCAGCTCTGCTTCCTTCCCTCCCCACCTGCAGGCGTCGTTCCCCCAAAGACTCTGCCATAACCCTACTGCACACGGATCTCAAGAGTCTATGGGGCGCCTGGGTGGCTCAGTTGGTTGAGCGCCCGACTCCTGATTTCAGCTCAGGTCATGATCTCAGAGTCATGAGATTGAGCCCCGCGTCGGGCTCTGCGCTCAAGAGTCTGCTTGTCTCTCTCCCTCTGCTCCTCTCTCAAATAAATCAATAAAATCTTAAAAAAAAAAAAAAAAGTCTCCATCTTTCAACCCATGGCGGCAAGCCACAGTGAGAAGCAGAGTTTATACCATATACATATTTATATAACTTACAGTTCACACTCTATGTATTATAAATATGGCATAATTCATGCATTATGTGACATAGTATATAATACAATACTTTTTATGTAATACGTAACATAACATTGTATAGTATATGTTGTGTGTGTGTATCATTGGAATGAAAATTTCACTAAATACCCTTAATACGTAGCTTGCAGTCTGATAACTTCTTACCGTATTCCTTTTCATGAAGAAAAGCCACAGATACAGATGTATCCTATGTACCTAATATGTATTATAAACATATAAAACCTGTTATATGTATTCGATAACACAATGTTATCATACATTATGTATTACATATATGGTTAGAACAAAAGTTTTGCTAAATGATAATTGCCGTCACCATGTGCAATGCACTCTGTTACTTTCTATTTTTTTCTATCTCATAAAGAAGGGCATATACTTATGTATGTATTATACAGACCTACATAAAGTGGGCTGCCCTGGGCCTTTGGCTTTTATTCTGGGCAAGGCAGGAGCCGTGGGATCTCTGAGCAGAGGAGGGATATGAGCTGACTTAGGGTCCCTCCCGACGGACTATGGGGGGGCAAAGGTGAAAGCTGCCCGTCCGGTAAAGAGAAGACTGTGATTGTCCAGGTGTGGGGGGCATGGTGGCCGGACCAGGGGGAGAAGTGGAGGTAGGGAGAAGTGGGATTCTGGGCATATTAGTATTTCAGAGGTGGAGCAGACAGGATTTGCTGAGCGATGGGATGTGGGGGTGTCACTGAAAGCTTCTAGGTTTTTTGCTCTGTGCACCTAGAAGGGAAACACTGGCATGTCCCAAGATGGTGAGGCTACCGCAGAACCAGGCACAAGGAGATATTGGGAGCC